TGCTGATGCGGGGTCTTGTCACTTCTCAGGGAACCGGGGTTACACGCAACCCGAGACATTTTCAATAAAGCACTCAAAAAGATTTTTTTTTTTAAATGCACGTAAAATCAACCTAATCAGTCATGATCATTACAAATATCATGGATTAATTCTTTAAAAAGTTCTGGGGTTGGTTTTCCAGAAGCTTCAGTCTACCTGGGCTTACAATGCCTTTGGGAAACGTTTCATTTTTAAGCATGTAAGAGTTTCTTTGAAAAACAATGATTTGTTTACGACCAAAACCAGGGATTATTATTGCATACTGGCAGTTCACATCAACTGATGTTACTCTCTTGTTTGCTTGTAACCACTTCTTTACACTTGCATCTACTTTTTTACATGTGATGTGTAGCTCAAAAGCGATAATTTTGTCAGACATTCTCAATTACCTGCAATTATATACAGAATTCTTGAATATCTTTAGAAGACTTGGCGCTACAAACCATGTAAACCTTAGTAACACTTTATAAATGCACCACTGTTTCTCTCGACACACAAATAAATGCTCTATTAACAATTTTCTGTAGGCTGATCCTCTCCTTTCACTCCCATTCTCCTCTTTTGTTCTGACCATGTGAACTCCATCTTTAGACCATAAAGTTCTTTAGTCAGCATGATGCAGGTCAGGGCCCCCATGCCAGCACTGTGATTGAGTTTCATGCTTAGCCTGTTGGGGTTCCTGAGTGTCCAGCGTTGCCTTCAAGAGGGAAATGAGTGGAAGAGGCGGCTGGCAAATCCTCCAGCAGGAGGGCGAGCCTTTGGCGTGGCTCTTTCACTCAGCCTCTTCTGCAACCTGTGAAATGAAATTCCACCACAGCTTTACTCAAAGCTGACGCGCCAACTGCCATTACTTCCCCGGCTTTGACTTTTATTTCCCAGAGCCGTGAGGTGCCAACCACAGCGGCTTTGTAGTAAAATTGATTCCATTCGTTTGATGTATCATTGTTGTCAGTGCTAAACAGATCACCACTGTGCATGAATATAATCCACCCTAGAGTCACCACAATGAAAGCCATTTCCATTTTCTACCCTTTTTCCCTCTCTTTCTTTCTCACGCCATTTTTACATGGTCTTGTAAAATGAGGGAGGCACGCAGTCTCTTTGAAGAGCTTCTTTTTCAGAAAATTCAGCCGAAGAACCTTTTTGAAAGATTGGGATTTCACATACTCCACTTTAAATATTAATTCTCCACTGCCTGTAGCCGAGCCCTTTGTCATTAGACCTATACACTCCCGCAGAATTTCACTCCTTCTGACGGTTACGCGCGAGTCTATCTCCACGAATAGCGCTCCTCTTGCTTCCTCTGCATTTTGATATGTTTTGACATAACAATCCATTCATCCTGGCAATGAGCACTTGAGCACGTTTCTTGACTTCACAGAGAAACTCTCGCTGAGACGTTCCACTTTACATTACTGTTTAAACAAGGTACTCTTTTGTGGTTTGAATATATGCATTCAGGCTTTCTGTGAGATGAGATGATTTTCATATTTACTGCCCTTATAACCTCTACTGCATAGCGTAAGATTGTCTAAAACTCACTCTATTAACAGGTAGAATGCCAGCTAAACTTAGTCAAGTACTCGCAGAATTCCACCGTAAGTTCTGTAGTTTCTGCAGGAGCGCACGTCATTCATAAAATGCCTTCCCACTTATGTTTGTTTCTTGAAAATTTTGGCTACATCTGCTACCAATATGCTTGGTTTAACACATCTCACCATTTTTAAATCCATTTAGCTAATTATCCCACAAAATCTGCTGCAAAAATACGGAGAATTTCCCAGATTCCATCTGCTAGCAAATAGATTTGAATCAATCAGCATTAGCTGTTGATGGTGTGGAAAGGTTCACCTTGGTGATAAGAGATACTACACTTCGCCCTCTACTGGACACATCTTGACTCTACATTTGAGCCATAATGGCAGTCCTAATCCTGCGCGGGGTTGATTTTCTTAGCGTTGAATGAGAAAACTGCCAATGTCCCATTACAGTGTTTGATCTGACAGGGCTCTTCAGAGTATTCATTGAGGTCATGGACACCAGTGTTTGCGAGATGGATACATTTATTTTTAAGTGCAACAAAGCTGTCAGCTGTGTTTCTCACAAAATGCCTTTGTAACACCAGAGCCTTTCAGCTGCCCATCTTCCTTCAGCAACACCACATTAGCACAAAAATGCTACTTACTTTAAATAGCCTTTTTGTGTGATCATGACAAGTGCTTTATCAATTGCCTGCTGGTATAGCGTCAATTTTTGGCCTTGCAAGACTTTTGTTTTTGCAGTAGCTGTTGTCTTAGGGTCAGTCATTGTTATGTGTCTGTAGTTGTAAAAGGAATAGTCTACCTAAAAATTAATATTGGTGTAATTTATCCATCCACATGTTGCCCATTTGATGTGCTTTCTTAATGGAACACAAAAGCAGAAGTTTGGCAGTATGTTTACAATGCTGTTTTCCATATAATGAAAGTAAATGGTGATCAACATTTGTTTACAGAGTTAAAATATCCACAGCAATAGGAGTATTTGGTCACACTTTAGATTAGGGTCAAATTCTCACTATTAACTAACAATTAACTGTGACCTTTGCCTCAATATGCTCCTAATTACTGCTTATTTATAGTTAGTTTGGTGGATGTGAAGTTTAGGTATTGATGAAGGGACGTAGAATGTGGTCATGCAGAATAAGCCATTCATTTAAGTGCTAATAAATAGCTAATATCTTAGTAATATCCATGCTAATATGCAACTAGTTAATAGTGAGAATTAGACCCTATATACTAAAGTGTTACAGAATATTTTCTGTGAACAGGGACTTTATTTGGACTTCAGAAGATTTTGAATGTAGTGCAAAGTGGGGAGGACTGTTATAATACTTTTATAAGGCATTTTTGTCAATTACATTATGTACGTCATTGTAAGAAAAACGACATGAACATCCTTTTTAACAGCTCCTTTTGTAGTCTGTGGAAGTAAATTACATGCAGGTTTGGAGCGAATTTTTTCCTTTAAGGATTTATAACAAGACTTTAAATCTTGTACAAAAGCCTTTTCTAGTCTTGAGTTCACTTTTCTGCTACTTACAGATAATGTCTCTTTTAAGAATCTAGAAATTAAATTACACCATGTGTGATTTGGTAGAGACTGGCAGTGTGCGACCCCTTTTATTATGTGAAGTCACAGATTAGAACGTGTGAAAACTGATATGATCATCCAGATTTGCTTATTAAAGATATCCTGCCATTACTGTTTCCATGACATTGAAATCAGAGAATCCAGGGCTTTTTGGAATGAAACTTATTAGAACTGCTGGTCACAGGATGAAGTTGTTTTGTTTGGTTTTCCTGAAGAATCAGTTGAGGGAGATAGTATTTATTACATTTTGTGTGATAAAAAAGGATAACCGTATATCTCTGCCTCTAAAAGAGACATTCTGAGATTCAGATTAAAGTCAGTGTTTTGAAGACCAATCAAAAAACAGCCCAATGACCAATAAAAGCAGTCCAGTATCAAAACACAAAATGTGTGTTAGATTTTAGGAATGTTTAGGTTATTTAAGTTCATTTGTAGGGCTACTATTAAGTTGTGTTGTTGTTATTGTTGTTTTTATCATTATAAAAATGTTTAATTGTAATATGTTTTTTATGTTTTTTTTAAAAAAGTCTCCTATAATTACCATTTGTGATTACCATTTATTTAATGCATAAATACAGTAAAAAATACAGTAATATTGTGAAATTGTAAAATTTAGTCTTCAGTGTCACATTATCCAACAGAAATCATTCTGATATGCTGATTTGTTGATCAAAAGACGATTAAAACCAATGTTAAAAATGGTTGTGCTGTGTAATATTTTTGTGGAAACAGTTATAAAAAAATCCAGGATTCTTTGATGAATAGAAAGTTCAAAAGAACATTTATTTGAAATGTCTTTTGCAACATTATAAATTTTTTACTGTCAGTTTTGATTCACACTTGATACATTTACTGCATTGTAATCATAACCACAGTTGGCCTGTCTGCTTCCATAAAAAGAAGCATCCATCTTACCTGTTTTGATTAGCAGAAGATTGGCTGTTGGTTGGTCAGAAATTCTGGCATTCAAATCTAATTTGTGTAATATGTCAAACTTCAAACTACAGGACAAAATCTCTCATAGGAACAGCAAAAAAGTTACTCAATTCAATGGGGGAAAGCTGTTACCTTGTTAACCCTGACCAAAGTTTGTGTTCGAGAAAGAGTCTTTCTTTCTGAAAGTTGTGGGTAATGTCAACCAAAAACCATAAATTATATTTCTCCCCTGTATTGATGAAATTACAGCATTGAGAATAACACGGTGACCTTGGTGTGAGTTATTTGTAGAGGGACTATACTGTTCTGAATCTGAGAAAAAGAATATAGTTTATTTTTGTGTTTTCCTGTTACATGCTACCAGGTGCAAATTCAATTGCAGTTCCATATATTCCACATTTGTATTTTGATAATAGGAATTTTTCATATGCCGTTTTGTTTTAACTAAGTACTGTGAGGCTGGAGCAGCCAGGCTGATCAGACCTAGGCTTGGGCAAATCAAATGGCTTTGGTTTTATTCATTGTTTTTCAGCTTTCTTTGCATCACAATCAGTAGAGACAATGTTATGCTCTGCTTTGGAAATCTTTTCTGAATATGCTGTGGCACTGGACCAAAAGTAAATTGCTTTTTTGCTGTCTTTTTTTTTTTTCGGTTGCTGCTGGGATGCGTTTTTTGTTGAACTAAAATAATGAGAGTAAACCACCACACACAGACCCACATACGTCACATTCCACATACACACACCACGTGTAGAAAAACAAAAGGGTCGATAAACGGCCGCTTGACTGCCCTTTCATCCATTGGCAGCATGCACAAAAATATGCCTTTAAGCTTGCATTCAAACATTTTGATATTACTCGTGAGTCGTGACCATTTATTTTTCCTGTGTTAGGGTGGAGGCCGGTTTCCAGAAGGTTTTACAGGTGGATCTGGAGGTCAACGGGTTGTTGGATCCTCTGGGAAGTCGCTCAGTGACATGGCAGATTGAGTACCCCATCTCCCGGACCCTCTCAGACGAGATCCAGACCCTCATCCGTCTGGCACCACACGACCTTGGCGGCATCGTGCCATTGGCTATGGTGAGTTCTGATCAACTCATGTCTTTCATTCTAAACAATTCCAAACATGCAATGCTGTTCTTTTGTCTTTTTAAGGTTACTGTTTGCATATAATATCATTGCTGCTTTTAGGCATAATATAAGAGCACGTCAATTAGCTCTAATTTGCTTAAAGGTGCAATGTGTAACATTTTTGAGTATCTATTAACAGAAATGCAATATGACATCCATAACTATGTTTTCAGTGGTGTATAAAGAACTTACTTAATAAACCGTAATGTTTTATTACCTTAGAATGAGACATTTAGATCTATGAAGGTCGACATATTGTGACGTCATGTTTCCACCGTAGCCGAAAAAAGAAATAAAGACTATTTTGTGTAGTATATAGTGTCTAGGGGATGTGAAAGCTCACCTTTGGGCTCATACGGACACATCAAGGCTTTACACTTTAACCAGCTCAGCCACAGTAACAGCTCAGTTTTAGCCAGCTAAACTTTTACTACCCTGTTAGAAAAAAATATATAGTTGCATAGTTTCAAGTGGTTCTTCTCCCTTGCTGTATTATGGGTTTGATATGTCGGGATAAATGTGCTGGTTACTTTTGTGAGACAATCAGCTGATACTATTATATTACATATTAAGACCCTTGATCCTCACCTGACTATGGCTTTGTAAACTTTATCCATGATGTGGTTTATAATGGACTGTGGTACAATGTTACACACTCTTGGCTTACTCTGGCTATTCTCTGCTGTCTCAGTCGATGATATGTTTGTCCTGTTTTGGATAACTTTGATGCGTTTACTACCTTTCTGGGGCTTGAAAAGGTGGTAGTTGCACATATTGTCAATGGAGGGACAGAAAACTCTCAGATTTTGTTAAAAAATATCTTCATTTGTGTTCCAAAATCAACAAAAGTCTTACAAGTTTAGAAAGACATAAGGTTGAGTGATAATTTTTTTATTCTTCAGTTAAATTTAAACTTCAGTTAACTGTTTGTCTATCTCCAAGTGTTTTTAACTTGGACAAACAGAATCATATTTTTTCCATACTGTTTATTGACTACCATTAAAGCATGGTATCCGGTCTGGACACAAAATGAGTCTCTTGTCTAATGCAAATTCATCTTTGTTATATTAAAACCAGTGGTACAGGTATCTACCATAGACACAGTCATACTTAAGTTGGACTCTATAGCCATGTATCCATTAAATCCTACACACGTTGATGTAGCTTAAAGTTTTGATTTGAATATTTGATTTTGACATTGGTGGGGTCATAAAAGTTGTCCGCAGAGCACCCTCTCCCCCACCCATAAATTTGAGTGCAATTTTATGTTGTCTAAAGCCTTTGTTTATAGATATAGTAGCCAAAAGACTCATAATTGGAGTTTTTTTTATGTCAGTATGTTCCTGAGACATTCATTACACAATTTTGATTATGTAAACCAACAGCATTACAATTTAGCTTTCTGTACTTCATGATAAAATCTAAACAATCATAGGCTACATTGATTTCCATGGGCTTTTTTATAATTGCCATATTTAATCCATCTTTGTCATATTTTATGTCAAATGCTTCAATTTATCAATTAATTAGAAAAAAAAATCAGAATAATGAGATGCCGGCTGTTACCAATAAAATGATCAAAGCAGCTATCTTTACACTGCAGCGCTTATTTAACCTGAAAAATCAAACATTCACATTGGGAATACATTATGTACAGAAAGTGAGCAAAGGACATTCCCCATCACTGAAAATGTCAATGACTTTAGCCAGTCTCACAAAACCCCCTGTTATGATCAACGAAGCTGACTACACTGCACAATGAATTTCTTACAGTACATGGTATCTGCTCCTGTTCAGCACACGTTGATCTCTAGAGTTTTCCGCTAATTGCTTCTGCACCTGTGGCTAATTTAAATGCCTATAAACTGATAAAAACATGTAAAGAAATCTGCCACCTTAAATAATGCAACCTTAGCAGATAAATATAATGCTGTAATAGACACTTTTTAATTATTTTCACATTTCTATCAAAATGATTGGTAGGCACGATTTTGTAGTCGATTGGTATTGGTAGGGACATGTCCGTAGCGTCCCTACTGCTGTGTGATGATGTCATGTACACTTTCATTTGCTAAACTATTGAAATGCGCAATCAATGATATGAGATTATTTATATATTGCTGCATTTTTGTTGATTTGATTTTTATATACCCCAAATGAGAAAAAAAAAAATTGAGTGTGAGTTTAATCTTTTTAAATAAAGCGAGAGGCTGAGCCAAGGAGAAAAATAGTTTTTGATTAGAGATGGGCTACACGTCTGCTCTTCATCGGCTTCTTTTCAATAGGGCGGTATGAAGAAGATGATTTCATTTTGATGTGAAAAGGTTGGTCTATTTTCTGTTACCTCACTAACAGATGAAATCTGAATGCCCACTCTCGTTAGCTAAAGCGTTTTATCTTTCTTTCTCTTTGGTTCTTTTTTGCATAGCAGCTTGAATTATATCAACCTGGCTCTTTTTTCAAAGCATTTTAATTGTGTCTTACAGTGCGGCGTTCTCTCTCTCTCTCTCTCTCTCTCTCACACACATATATACCTCACGACAGCTTTTCTACTTGGCCATAACGAAGACATTGCCATCACCACACCTTGTTAAACTTAATCAAGACTTTGTTAAGCCTGCAGCAGAGTCAGCGGTCAGCTTTAATCACCCAGAGCTCGGCGATCTACTCTCCCTCTCTCTACCTGTCTAATGTAGAGGAACTACGCAGATTGGTGTGACAGGAACAATGGCATACGTTAACAAAGGCAAGAGACTCCAATCTGTCCCGTCGGAGGGTTCTGCTCCATTAGAATTAGCTTTTCCCCCTTTCGCGGACACCGGCTAATTCTGGCTTTCCAGCTGTCTCGTCGGCCTCATTAGAGAGGACAGCCCCGCTCCCCACTCGATGGCCAAACAACCACCATCATCCGTGGCGTTTGAGAGCTGTGCTGTCTCAGCCCATTACTGTAAACATAGCCCAGCCATACACTCGTGGCGAAGGCGGAGAATGATGTAATAATGTTGTAAAAATGATGTCCTTACAGCCTGAGCTCGACACCCCCCCAGCTCAAGCCCTCTTTGCCCACCAGTGCATTTCACACAACAATCACGGCCGCAGACAGCGAGACAGCAGCCACCAATCACTTGTGTTGTCTGGCCCTCTGACAGAGCGCATTTGTCTTGAGCTCTCTCGGAATGCTGGGAGAGCAGATTGTTGTGTTACACAGCAGGAGGGGATCAATGTAATCACATCACTTTCAACTTTTTGAATGAGGAGATGCCCTAATAGGATTTGGCAGTGCATGATACCCTCAAAATGCAGGAAATCTGTTCTGGCTCATTAGGATGCATCAGCGTGTCTTTCTCCCTTTATAATGTGTGTGTCTGTCTTCCTCCCTCTCTGATTCTATACCTCACAACTTTCGAATCAAGTTTACTTAAGCTCCTTGTAATTGGCCGTTCAGCCCTCTCGAAGGAATATTTGGGTCCCTGCTGAGTTTGTTTTCTGTTGACTATTGAAAGCACTCTCATTCTTGTTTGCCACCCTGTCTTCTCTCAGTGCTCTGAGAGTTTGTTCAGAGAAAAGGAAAATCAAATAAATTGCCAAGTTGGAGGCATCTCCCTTCAAACCCTTCTTCTGATTTTTTTTTTTTCCTTCTAGGGAAAATAAAAAATTGTTTTGTTTGGTTCTTCATAGCCTCTTGGCCTTAGTCTTGAGTTTCGGTGTGTGTCAGGCTTTACTTCACAGCTCATGGGTTTCTCTGTTCTCTGAGCGTCGCTAGCCTGCTGTTTGTCTTCCTTCAAGTCTGTTTGAACAGTGTCCTCTGTAAACCTCCTACAGGACAAGGTAATTCCTTTTCCTTTGTGTTCTCTATAGGCTGTAGGCGATATATCAGGCAACATTTTTGAACGACTCATCACATTTATATGGAGAACTCATAACTTGTTATAATTGATTACGAATATTTGGATCAGTTAATCGGGTTAATTTGACATAGCTACGTTAACATTACAACCAATTACTCGGTTCATCCCGTGAACACTCAATATTGGTTATTAATTCATTAAAAGAAATGTACATATCCGGGGCATGGGAAATGTCTTTCTTACTAAGTACTACTAAGAGCAAGTAGTTAAGATCTATGATTATAGTGGCTCCAGAAATGAGCTTGAGACACGGACAACTTTACGTGTGATGTGAAAGACTAAACGTAAAGTTGACTAAACATTTAAACTACTCTAAAATACACATACATACTTGTATACAGTTTCCCAAGGGAAAGAGAGCTGGAGTAGAATCCAGTTATAGCATTGTTTGATGTTCAGCAGATCAACAGCCTTGTTTAGTTGTAACACGTCCTTCTTGAAAAGGGGTAAGGATACTTAATTTATCAAATAATGAGACTAAGTTTGATACTTGCATGTGAATTAAACTGTCCTTATGCAATTTGTTGAGGCCCCAGTTGATCTTTGCTGATCTAGTCTTGATGAGAGAGAACCAGTGGTGGTCAGAGGATCTTTGGTGAATGAAAAGTCAAGGCGACAGCCTGACGCAAGCTTGGGAGTCCTTGAGGGACTTCTAGTTCACCCTCATCTTCACACTCCTCAAGAAGGACCAAGAAATTCAGAGAGCCAGAGGATACACAGAGGCCACACAAAAAACTCGTCTTAGACTGGTTACAAGCATCGAATTGATTGTATGAACATGTAAGGCTTAAAAACACATACGAATGATTGACTTTCTTGACAATGCAGTACTGACCCAATCTGACCAGTGACAATTGTGTATAATAATTTCACCGAATCTTTGGACTTGGAAGGACTCAAAAATGTACAGTAAAAATACATTCGATTCAGTGACAAGTCCAAGTTTGTGAAAAGTTGTAATCAAGTTCAAGTCCAAATTCGAGTTCCACATCTCTACTGTTTTATGAAACAAAGACTGTTGAATAACTTCAAATTACAGGA